TCCTGGCTAGTCATTTTCATTCCATAGCTTAGCACATCACATTATATCAATCATATCATAGCCGTCTGTGATCACAGGTAAGAATGATTTGCCTTTCCACGCAGCCTTAGGGCTGTCTCATGGAGCTGAAGAAAAATATATGCATTCAGGGCCACTAAGAAAAAGGTCCATAGTAAATATCCAAATCTTTAGTGGAGCTCCCTGAAGGATTAGAAGAATAAGGTCTTACCAGAAATGTTCTGGCCTTCATAAGGACTTATGCTCAATTTTGAATGGGCCTAGCTGTACAGTATTAAAGTGATCCATCCTGTACTAACAGCCAAAAAAATAAACTGTTTCGTAGGAAGGGAACATTGTCAATCCTGAAAGTACTTTGGTCCTTTGTAAACAATGTCCAATATTTTATTTAAAAAAAATCACCTAGCATTCAAAGAAACATGCCAATGAATGAAAATCTAGAGGAAATAAGAAGAAAACAGGTGATGGAGACAGACCCACAGTTCACTTAGATATTGGAGCTACTAGTCACAAGCTTTAAAATAATCGTTATTAGTATAGTCAAGAAAACAGATGATATGGTTAATTTCATCAGGAAATTCAATCTCTCTAAAAAACAACTGGATATCCTAAAATTGAAAAATGCATTATAATGAACAGTTGGGGATTTGAGGAGAAGAACTTTAAAAAATATTATTCTTTTTGTGTTTTGGCTGAATTCTAAGCAAACTCTATCTTTGAAGTTAATTAAAATATGCAGCTATGTAACAATAAGGGTCCATAGCTTAAAACAGAATTTCAAATCTTTGGTTGCACAATACAGAGCTATAGCCTCAGGAAAAATAACTTAATTATTTAAAGGAATCCATGCCTTCACAATTCCTCTCTACAATATGATTACAGAAAACAACAGGATCTTGGTGAAGAAACATTGAATATTTTGAGCAGATCTGTATTCACTCTTATTTTAAGCAGCAGTCGTACTTCCCTATTTCAATCCAATTATAAGTAAGATTGTTATAAGTGTAAATGTATTTTCTTATTTATTAATCATTCATCATTTAGTCTGCACTACAAAAAATTATGCTATTGAAGAAAGGACAATATTTGCAGAATGAAAGGATTGGAGGTCATGTACGTGCTTGGCATGATTAGCACATTGAAATACTGAGATAAATTGCATGAAGGCATTGACAATGAAATTTTTTTAACTAAATTTATTCAACCCATTACTAATTTTAATGTAAAATTTAATAGTAATTGTAATTTACAATTTTAAAACAAGTCCCAAAATGGTGGTGGGTTTCATGTAAATCAGAATTTTTCTTCTTATTCACATAAAATATAATGAAACAAAACAAAGCTGGTGTTAGTTTATTAGAAGAAACTTATTACAGAAAGAATTACACTTACTTCCCTGTCTATAATTCCGTAAGTTTAGCTTGGACAGGAACAGAAAATTATACTCCTTGTAATCATAGGTTCTTAGAATTTGGTTAGCTCTACAAATGAAGTAGGAATACCTCTCCTGACTATACTTGTAATTGTGTGATATGAAAACAATCTAATAATAAAGATTCTTAAAGAGCAAATATTAAGAAATACTTATTAGAAAAACAAATGAGACATAGATTTGTGAATTGTTATACATAATCTCTTTAGGCAGGAAAAATGGTCGAGCTGTCTTAGGATCATCAAATTAAAGTTTTTGACTCTGGATTTGTCCTTAACGAGCTCTGTGACCTCATGTATGTCATTTAATCTCTCTGACTCAGCTTGCTCAGCTATAAAATGAAGATAATCATGTATGATCTATTTCCATAATTAAGTCATAAACATTTATTGAACAGCTTCTATGTACCACTGCTATTGTAAAATGCTTAAGATATTAAGGCTATAGGAAATTGTTGAAGAATTGAACACTATAATGCATGTGAAAGTGCCTTGTAAATGATAATACATGATGCAAGCTACTATTTTATGGTATCATGTTTAGGAATATTTTTCTAGCAGTGTGAGGAGCTTCTAGCTCTCACCCGAATGCAAGAGGACTCTGTTTTGACAAATTTTACAAATAACAATTTGCCTTAGCAAAATAAAATATATAACAATTACTGAGAAGAAAAAAGAGGTAAGCTAGAAAAGTAGAAGCTGCTTTCTATCTAGGACATAAAAAGAGCAGAAAGGCAAATAACTAAAAATGACTTATATGAACTCCAAGTGCAGAAGGAAGACAATCTTCAGGATAAGCGCCTGGGAATATCAAGAAAGCGTTAAATTTGCCTGTCATCTTGAAACTCCCCATGACAAAACAGGAAAACTGTAATGGAACGTTTTTCTTTGATAAAAATGAAGAAAAGAGAAGGCCTTTAAAAATACTAACCTAGAAGAAAGAACAGGAAGAATCAACCGTTACTCTGCAATGTGAGTTATCCTTTGAGAACAGTATAAAAAGATGACAATTTTGATAATAATGGCTGGTAAGAGAAACCACAAGAAGAACACAAACCTCTGTTTTGACAAAGCCTCCAGCTGGTGAGACCTAAGACTCCAAACTTACTGACTCTGTGTCTTTCCAGAAACTTGACCACTGCTGTTTGAAACCATTGAAAACTAACATTGTAAAACATCACTGTGCAGTTCCAGCAATATACTAGATTGCAATGAAAACTACAAATGAATGAACCCTTTTGAGAAATATTCCCTCAGCTTCCAGGGAGTGTGACATAAAAATATGGTGGGCTCTGGTATAAAAAACATAGCCCTGTTTTTATCTCCTTGGGGAATCACCACACTGCTTTCCACGATGGCTGAACTAATTTACACTCCCATGAGCAGTGTATAAGCATTCTGTTTTCTCTACAACCTCACCAGTAAAACTACATTCAGCCCAGAAATCCCATTACTGGGTATATAGCCAAAATAATATAAATTCATATAACCAAATACCACCTGTTTCCCCAAACCCTATTGAAATAAAAAAATGAGTAGAGAAAAGAGAATTTGTAGGGCAGGGAAGATTCTGTATGACACTATAATGATGGATGCATGACATTACACATCCTTAAAACCCTTAGAAAATACAGCATCAAGAGGGAACGCTAATGTAATCTAAGAACATTAAGTGATATTGATGTGTCAATGTAGGTTTATCTGTTGCAACAAATGTACCATTCTGGAGGGGCATGTTGATGATGGGGGAGATGTTCAGCAGGGGAAGAAGAGTATGTTCAACCTCTGTGTATTTTCTGCCTCATTTTGCTGTGAATCTAAAACTACTCTCAGTCTGTTAATTTAAAAATAAATAAATAAATCATTCTGCCACAAAGACACACGCATGTCTATGTTAACTGCAGCATATTATAATAGCACCACTATTTATAATAGCAAGGACATAGAACCAACCAAAATGCCCACCAATGATAGACTGGATAAAGAAAATCAGGTACACATATCCCATGGAATACAATGGAGTCATACACCAAATGAGATAATGTCCTCTGCAGGGACATGGATGGAGCTGGAGGTCGTTATCCTTAGAAAACTAATGCAGGAATGGAAAACCCAATACCACATGTTATCACTTATAAGTGGGAGCTAAATGATGAAAATACCCCATGGGACAAAGAACGGAACAACACACACTGAGGTCTACTTGAGGGTGGGGGTAGGGGGAGGGAGAGGATAAGAAAAAGTAACTGTTGGGTTCTGGTCTTAGTATCTGGGTGAGAAAATTATCTGCATAACAAAACCCCTGTGACATGAGTTTCCCTCTATAACAAATCTTCACATGTACTTCTGAACCTCAAAAACAACTTTTTTTTTAAAAAAAACCATAAGCTTGGATAAAGAAACACAGAGAAGGACATATCCTATAATTACATCCTATTTACACAATGGCTCTCAAGTAAATGAAAAACTCCATTAAAATGTTTTAAAGGAATAGAAATAGTTGACATGGTTATAGAATTTTTTTTTAAAGTTGGCCTATTTAATTGTAATTAAATTATGTTTCACTTTTTTGGCATAGATGGATTTCAGAAGATTTGACCAAAGTGAATTCTTTCTTTATCCTCAACATCCCTTTTATAATCTGGGATTCATTTCTCAAAGAAAAAGTAATCTCTCAGTTGAAAACAATGTATTGAGTCTGTATTACTATAAATGCCCCTTAACCTGTAGGTTAATAATGCTCATTATTAGTTCTCATGGTCCAGGTTTCTCTCATAGTTAGACACCATCTAAAACATTACATCTGCAGTTCTTGGAACTTTATTCCTATACTCTTTGTCTAACAGACCTTAATTACTTTGTCAAAAGAGTTTGAAATCAAACACACAATTATTCTAGTCTGAATATTCTGTAAATTTAAGGCTACAATTCAGTAAATGTGCGTTCTTTACTTTGTCAATTTGTTAAAATGAAACAAACCATAAGTTTAAACTCCCTTGTTCTTTCTATCACTTAGGTCTCTAATTAATCTTTCTTATCCTGTTTCAATAAGCATTAGCCAAAGGGATTGTAAGCTCAGCTGTCCTGGAACTCTCTCAGTACTGGGTCATTGAGCCACATAAGTTTTCATGCCTACAAATGCTTTTGAAATTAGAACCAAAATATATCACAGAAATTAACAAGGTGGAAAAAAACCTAACAAAATATTCAAATATAAACATTTAGATTTAGATGAGAAATCCCTCCAAATTGGATTTTATTTTTCTTAGAGACATTTCACTCTAATACCACTAGCATATAATTACTGAATAATTTTATGAAATTGATGGGTCCTTATGCCAACAATATCAGAATACAAAACACAGAGCTAACAATCAATGAACCCAGAAAATTAAAACTAACTCAAATATTTTTTATGAAGCAAAAGAAACCAAGAGGCAAGAAAATGATTTGAGGGTCATGACTGTAAAATGTCGTTTTCTTGACACTTGGAGGAAAGACAGCAGTCAAGAACAAGGGGAAGGGAAAGAATTTATTAATACATTACTTACTTCTTTGTATCCGAAGATTATGCGTCCATCCATGAGCAGGGTTGCCTGGAAGGTGAAGCTTCCCAGGTTATAATTATCCTGGAGATGTACATGGTCCCACTGGACCACAAGTGCTGTGCCTATAAACCCAGTTAAAAAAAGAAGAAATGCAATGAGAAAAACATACCAATCAATTCTGATGGGAAATTTCACAAGAAAGCTTTTGCATCTGGCCTTCAAATCTGGTAGTTGTACGATTTCAATTTTATGTGGTTAATAAAATTCTGTTACTGAAATAGCATTTGGGATTTTTTTTTTTAAGGACTATTCTCTAAATATTTAGTAAAATATAACCTCATGCTTAGGTTAATACTGAGCTATTGCAGTGTGGGGGAATTTTGCCTTAGGGATTTTATTAATGTTAACGGGTACTGTCTGCTTAAATTTCTATAAGCCAGTTTCAAAATGCAGCCCAAGTGGATTGAATGAACTTCAAATACATTTGACAAACGCTGAGAGAGAAAGAAACACATTTAAAAAGTTAGGACCACATACAAAAGACCTGCAAATGTCTTTTCCACACTTAGAAATATACTTTTCCACACTGAAGGAGTTCCTTGAAGACTAATGGGAATTTTCTCCTTGGGTTCACAACGGTTGTATTTCTGTCTTTGTTGTGTTTCTTCCACGATGCTGCACGCAGCTCAAAGGACCCTGGGCTAAGATTTCTAAAGCCCCCTTGAAGCACACTAGGATGAAACTCCAGTGCTGTATATTATATTCTGACTCACTCAGTCAGTGTTTACTATGAACAAGTAACATGACATAAAAACTGAAACACAGTTTAATAGTCACCAGTGAGAAGTCATATTTTTGTTTTAAATGACATTTGTGTAGTCTCTTTTTTTAAAAAAAGAAAAGAAATGAGCTGCTAAGACTTCTTCACTCTAAATATTAGATTTTTCTGTTCGGCTTACAAAAATATTGTTGCCCAAAAAAGTTGTGTTGAAAATGAAAATCATAGAACTAAAAGAGCAAATTTTATCTCTCAGCAATAAATATCTGATATATTTAAAAATTACAATTGCATGGAAGAATTAATTTTCAGTAACTGGTGCTATTAGTAACGCCTCTTGAGCTAGTTGACAACTTTAAATAGTCACGTTATTTCAAATATTTTGAAAGCCCTATTGTAAGTCTTTGAAGAGTGTTGAAGTATAGAAATGGACTTCTTTTGAGGCAAAACTTTAAATGTTTTTTAAAGAAAAAATTGAACTTGACCTTGGTGCTTTTAGTCATTATTACTGCTTTGAGTAAAGACCACCCAGGTTTCCTTCCATGGGCATCTCTCTGTCTATATTGTCCTTTTGGAAAGAAAAAAGATAAGGGGTGGGAAAGGGGAAAAGGGAGAAAGGGGGAGAAAGAGGGAGAAAGAAGGAGGGGAGGGGAGGGGGAGGGGGGAGGGGAGGGGAAGGGAGAAGACGGGAGGGCAAGAAGACAATAGCCCGGAAACTTCCCATGATTTTTTAAGTATAGGGATTTTCTAATTGTGAAATGCCTTCTAACTTCCTTTTCCTTCACACATGTCTACCCCCAAGCTCTAGTCTCTTCCCTATTCTCTAGTTACTTTTTTCTTCCTGAAAGACACATTTATTTTTTAACCTTTTAACTTCAAGTGTATTTTTTTCCACTATGCCATTATGAACATTCATTGATTCATTAACTGAATAATGTATTGAGGGCCTAATGAGAGCCGGACATTAGGGATTCAGTAGTGAACCAGACAGATATCATACATAAAAAAATGAAAATGCCAGTCTAGAACAGGCACTGACCAACTACAATTGTCCTTTGAACACACCGCAGTTGAAAACACTCACAGACAACAATGTAGCCTAGAAATATTGACAAAAGAAGAAACAGTTGTCATGAATGTACAAAAATATGTAGATACTAGTCTGTATTATCTAGTTTCAATCACGCTCCGGTGATGCAGTGAAAACAATGAGCCAGAAGGCAGAAGACTTAGACTTGCACCTTGCCTCTATAAAACTTCCCGTGTGAACTTGGACACAATTAATCTGCATGAGCCCATTTCCTCTCCTATAACACAGAAAGTATAATTTCTGCCTTCAAGTGATTTCTGCATTAAATACAAGAAAATATAGTTGTCCTTGATTATTTATGAAAAAGAGAGGGCTATATAAATTAAAGTTTATAATGCAAATTCTGAGGAAAAGATTCCTAATATTTTGTTAGTAGCAGGTTGTTAAAAATCACAGTTTGTACATGCTAACTTTTATATTATGTAATAGCATAGCCCTCTCAACACTTACTGATTTAAATTTTCTGACCTGCTGCTATCTTCTCCAGAGAAGACTGCTTTCCTAAATTGTTGAGTTTCCAATCTTTAGGTATGCTCCCAATGATTCTAACCAAACTTGAAAATATTTCAGCAAGTTGCCGTGGTAAAAAAGGACTTTGTGAAGAGGCTTACAGTATTTAAAAGTGTTTCCCTCATTTAATAAAACACAAGCTTTCATTATCATATTGTTTGAACTCAATATTTCTCAATATTAGATTCCTATGGAATAAGTCATTACACAGAAGACATTTCAGTGGGTAAAAAAAAACATGCATTTTTGAATAATAATGCTTTTATAATTCCCAGAAATACTCACTTTATACATTTAATTATTTTTATTCATTCATTAAATAATTATTTAGGGTCTATGCCTATTAAAAATCTATGCAGGGTACCGGAGATAAAATGATTTCTTATAAATAGCCACAGCCCTTGTTTTTAAAGAACTTAAAGTTCAGTTGGAGTAGTATACATCAATTTTTTAAAAATCATTCAAATACATGTAAAATTCAAATATTAAGAGCTACCCAGAAACAAGGTATATGAGAATATATGGAGAGAGACTTATTTAATATGCTTTATGATTTTGATACCAACATTATAAAAACATGGTCATTAGAATCATGTGCCCATAAGTAAATGACTCTAATATCATCTAGTGAGTGTCGGAGCTTGGAAAATAGTCAATTTTCATTAAATCATTCATTATTTCCTCAGGATAGATTCCCAAGGCAATTTTGTATGGGAATCATAGAATAAGTTTCAGATAAGTTTCTGGCTGCAGTTTTGCCTCAAGCATACTGTATTTACACTCTACTTGCACATCCTTGGGTGTTAGCACCTTGTGAGGTTTTAAGAAATGGAAGAGAATATATGTTTTTAAAATAATAGAGAGAAATCATTATAGTCAATATTTCGAGTTACTTAACATTGGATCATACCTTGGTGTTACTCAAATTGTTCAAAGTGTATTCCTAAGTGAATATCTAACTATGTTTAGTATCCCACTGTGCTATTTTGAACTGTAAAATGGCTTCATCACACTGGTTAGGAGGCTGCTCTTAGCAAAATGATCATACTTTTCCAAGGCTACTGCTGCCATCAAGTCTATTTCAACCACAAATAAATTTCTTCCTTGATCATCAGAAATAAGAGCAGCAATAATTCTGTTCACCCCAAATGCTTGTATAATTTGCAGGTATAAAATTGTCATTTGAACAAATAAATACCATTTGTGAATAATAAATACACAGAAAATTTTATATTTAATTAATCTTTCCAATATAAACACTTTTTTACCTATAATTTATTTTCTCTACCAAAGATACGGCTTTCGATAAGATGTTGAGATGAAAATTCATTTGTGTCTCTAAGACCTTGAATTTCTCACTTGGATTTTGGCAGCATTTAACGATATATTCTAGTTTTTTCTCTACTTTCTATGTCACAAAAAGTAATAGCAGGGATATATTGCTCTTGGTGTATTTGATAAATCTTAATGGACTCTCACTCATTTTTTAAAGTCAAGAAAACTTTATTTTCTTAAGTTGAACTACCCACACTACTTTATACTTTTAAAAATATGTGTTAATCTTATGGATACATACAAGTCATAAGTTCTAGAAATTTTATATCACTATATTATGCCACTTGCTTCTACTGGAAGATCAGAACTAAGAAAATTATTCTAATTTCCATTTTTTTCTGATGGAAAAATTGGAAAACTGATTTACTGAAATAGCATCAAAAACTTATGGAAATGCATCAAAAATACATTTGCTTTGAGGTCTTGTCTACAGCAACTCATTTCTATTGTGTATAATATATGTTAATAAACATGTTGGATAAATGTCATTTGTGTACTTTATAAATCTTAACAGTTAACAGTATAACATTTGTCATCTCAGACCATTTGCATCAAGCAGTTTACACACCAAAAATATAGAGTCCACAAAACATTAACATGAATCTGATGCTTGAGGTTAAAAATAAATATGCAGCAAAACATATGCTAATCAATACATACCATTATCAAAATATCTGACAGTTGAATTTCTGGATACACTGGGATCGAAATTTGCCATTAAAGGTGCTATGTACTGTGTAGCTGTTAGCATTCGATGTACAACTTCTCCAGTGTATATGAAACCTAGAAACAGAAAAATAGGAAACATGTTCAGAAAAAGACGCCCATATAAAATTATAATTAAAATACTTCCAACTCCATTACAGTCAAATTTTTAAAATAAAATGTCATGGTAGCTCGAAAAAAAGGAACATATTTAATATCTTAGTGTCTAATTAACAATACTTGGTCTGGATTAAGTAACAAATTCTGATACGATTTGGTAGAACCTTGCAGACTGGCAAATCCAAAATCTATAACATGCACAATTTTAATTGTGGGAAAAGTGAGTATTATCTGGATGAGATTAGTAGTCTAAAAAATGCTAATACTGTATGATAAGTAATTAAAATATTCAATTTGCCATTATTAATCCCTTGTTATTTTAACATTAGGTTACCACACAAGTCTTTTGAATGAGTGAATTCAGTTTCATGATATTTATTTAACCTACCATCTCGGCATAGGACATTTTAGAAATGACACCTGCTAAAATGCAGAAAATGTTTTGATGCTTTTTTTTTTTCCTTGAAAGTTGAAAGGGTGCTAAACACCCACAGTGAAGATTTCACATTTCTTGGATTGCTCAAGTCTCTATATTATCAGCACACTGTCAAGAAGATAAAGTCTATATGTTTGCAGATAAGATGGTAAAACATTGACCATGCACAAATGCCTCTCTATTTAGAGATTTAATCAATGCCAGTCTATTCTAGCAGTTGGATAATGAGAGGGAATTTACTATGGAGGACTTCAGCTTTGAATTAACTTTCAATAGCTCCTATGTTACAAGTCTAACCCACTTTCAATTTTTCACACTAGGTTTATTTACTTTGCGGATTATCCATGACAAATTGTTAATCCTGTGCTGGCTTCTTGCCTACAAAGTCTTTAGCTGCCTGAAAGGAGAGTCAGCTCAGGGAATGCTAACTAATTTTAATATTAATCTAAGAAATACACAATTAAAATACATATGCAAATGCACACACACACAAATAAAATGCAAAGCAAATTATTTGTGACAATGTGATGTAATGTATGGGTAGTCATGAGTTAATTAGATACCCAAGACTAATATAAATCATTTTTCTACATTCACAAGAAACAATAAAGAAGCAATGCAATATTTGAAGCTCAAAAAATGTTACTTTGATAACTCATTTTATGGTCTGAATAAATATTTCATTGGCATTTTGCAGTCTTCATTGTTTCAAATTCCAAATTGTGATGTTCCAAATTCTGCAGGTTATTGCAGAATTACACCTACAGTTATTTACTTAGAAATTAATTTCTTTTTGATAACATCTTCTTTCCTTTGACTACCTTTTAACTTTTCATCAAAAGCATAATTGAACTATAGCTATTCATCTTAAAAAATATTTTAACTGGAAAAATCTTCAATGTGTTTTTATCACCATGACTTCTTGCTTATTTGCCAAGCACTCTTTTAAAATAAATAACTGATGTCTTAAGCAGAATTTTGTACATTTGTAATTTCACATAGCTCAAGTGTATTAAAAAATGTTATGGTGATATGGTCATTGCTTTTATTATATTTCTCTCTGGATTTTCAGTCATATTCCTAATATTCAAAGTGCAATATCACATCCTTAACATTATAAACATGAAGAGTAACTTTTTCAGTGTCTCTATTTTTTCTCCTATCCTCACCAGCATGCATTTATAATGTCATCGTTAAAATGAGTACAAAAATTCTATAGATACAATCTTTTAAGAGAAATCTCTGAATTAGACTCTGAAAGTGTTATTTCAGAGAAAACAGCTCCAGGTAGGTTATTTCTCTTCTTTATATTCTCCGTGTACAAACAGAAAAAACTGCTTAACTTGGGGAATGAAGGGCAGTTATTCAAGGAGGGAAGATAATTTTAAATAAATACAAAATCCATTCTCCAAGACAACTTTGTAAGAAAAACAGCAGCAATCCCTAAAAATATACTGTTGCAAAATGTAAGAGCATTGATCATTTTGGACACTTCATACTTACTGTTAGTTTTTAAATAAATAATATATATATATATATATATATATATTATATATATCTTATATATATAATATATATATTCCCCTCAATGTTTCTACATAGATTTGTCAGGAAAACTGCTCTCCACTTTCAATAACCCAGTTTTCAGATCACAGCAACCATTAACTGTTATTTCTTTTCAGTGGGAAAATGTTTCCCAAATCTACAATTTCTCAAATGTCAGAAGGGAAATTTCAAGTTGTTTCCAAAGAACTCTGTAGAAATATAGAATAATTTGTTAACATGTAAAAGCCATGGATATAGCTTGATTCTTTTATTACCAGAACATTAAAATCAATTATATTACTATGAATATTAAAGTTGCCACAACTACAAAGAACAAGAAACTGCTACTACAATTACCAGCATGTCTGGCGCTGCTATTACGACTACCACCGTTTATACCGCCACCATGAAAGATTAATACAAAAAAAAAAAAAAAGAAAAGAAAGAAAGAAAAAAACACGATTCTGTAAAACGAGTTTCATTTTACTAATTCAGGGAATACTTGTTTGTTTTTCTTAGCCATACTGAAAGTTAATTATATCAGTATCTCAGGTTAGTTTCTAATGACCAAGAAATAAAATTCTTGGTTTCTTGGTGAAGCCTATCTCATGATAGACCTTACCTTGTTCTCATTAAGTTTCTAGATTTTAAAAATATCACTTCAGTAGTGGTTAATAATTGAGTGGAGAGAAAATTTACAAGCTTGCAGGGGAATGTAATTAGGTGTTAAATAAGAAAGAGCTATGCAAATCAATGCAACAGAACTCCAAACCTTTAAAGGCACTCATAGCCACCAACACACCATTAGACATTTACTTCTTTCCTTTGGCTGTTCTGGGCATGCTCAGTTAAATATAAATATAAATATGTGTATATATATATATAATATGTATATTTTTCTGATCCTTCATGTTTTGGGGTAATTTAAGCAATTTTTATTATTATTATACTTTAAGTTCTGGGATACTTGTAAAGAACATGCAGGTTTGTTACACAGGTATACATGTGCCATGGCGGTTTGCTGCATACATCAACCTGTCATCTACATTAGGTGTATCCCCTAATGCTATTCCTCCCCTAGATCCCCACATCCCAAAAGGCCCCAGTGTGTGATGTTACCCTCCCTGTGGCTATGTGTTCTCATTGTTCAATTCCTACTTATGAGTGACAACACGTAGTGTTTGGTTTTCTGTTCTTGTGGTAGTTTGCTGAGAATGATGGTTTCCAGCTTCATCCACATCCCTGCTAAGGCCATGAACTCCTACTTTTTAGGGGCTACATAGTATTACATGGTATGTATGTGCCACATTTTCTTTATCCTGTCTGTCATTGATGGGCATTTTGGTTGGTTCCAAGTCTTTGCTATTGTGAATAGTACTGCAATAAATATACATGCATATGTGTCTTTATAGTAGAATGATTTATAATCCTTTGGATATATGTTTTGACTATTTTATTTACATTTCTTTGTAGCCATTTGAAAAGCTAATCATACAATATCTCCTTTGCTTACTATGTGATTCTACTATAAATAGCACTCATTTGCTCATCTGCCTTTGCAGAAAAGTCATTTATGCAGATAATTTGGGACTGGGAAAGACATCTTAATTTAAAAAAATCAAGTTAAAGAAGCAAACATATTCTGTTCTTTGAATCTCAAATAATAGTGAACACATGGCCATTCCCTTTTGCCTTAACAACTATTAAAACCAGAGTTAAATTCTGAGTTCATTTGTAATCAACAGCTTTGTTTTTGTACCCTGAAGAATTTCCTTGGGCTGCTTTCTGTAGGTGGTCTCTAGTCATGTGAATAATCTGCTTTTCTATCTGGAAGTCTCATCAAGTCATTTTGGGGATTCTATCATTGTAGGTCTTGTCATGAATAAATTCCAATCAATCATTATAGATTTAATAATCTTAACTATGTATGTACTAACCAGAAATATTCTGGTAATGGTGAGATTAACCAGTATCTATATAGGCCTTTGCTAATTATATTATTTTCATGTATATTCTTCTGTTCTTTCTCTTTCCTTTTCTTCTTTTCTTCTTTCCTTCTTTCCTTCCCTCCCTCCCTCCATCTGTCCCTCCCTCCCTCCCTTCTTTCCTTCCTACTTTCTCTTCCCCTTCCCCTTCCTTCCTTCTTTCCTTCCTTCTTTCTCTTTCTTTCTTTTTTTCTTTTCTTTCCTTTCTCTCTCTCTTTCCTTTCTTTCTTTCTCTTTCTTTCCTTCCTTCTTTCCCTTTCTTTCTTCCTTCCTTCCCTTCCTTCCTTCCTTCCTT